CGGTATATAAGTCTCATAAATAAATAAATAAATACAAAAAACAAACCACTGCAAAAGACTAGAAACAAACTAGAAACAAAAATTAAACTAAGCAAGAAAATGGTAAGAGAACACCTATCGGACCTTGATGAGTATAAATCACTGGGACCCGACAGATTACATCCCAGAGTTATCTGAGATGTTATCTGAAAACCATTGCACCACATCTTTAAAAAACCCTGGAGCACCAGGGAAGTACCTGATGATTGGAAAAGGGCTGATGTGGTTCCCATCTTCAAGGAAGGGGGAAAAAACAGACCCAGGAAACTACAGACCAATCAGTTTAACATCAATACCTGGGAAGATCCTAGAAAAGATAATAAAAAACAGATCTGTGAACAACTAGAAACAAACAAAGTTATAACTAGTAGCCAGCATGGGTTTTTTAAAAACAAATCATGACAAACCAATCTTATTTCATTCTTCAATAAAGTGACTAAACTAGTAGACCAGTGAAATGCTATGGACATAGTATACTTAGACTTCAGTAAGGCATTTGATAAAGTAGACCACAACCTACTCCTTGGTAAGCTAGAAAAAGATGGAATAGACAACATCACCACCAGAGGGATCTGTAGTTGGCTGGCAAACTGTACTCAATGAGTAGTCCTCAATGGCACTACATCCACATGGAGAGAAGTAAGCAGTGGGGTAGCACAAGGTTCCGTCTTAAACCCAGTAGTCTTCAATATCTTCATCAATGACTTAGATGGGGGAATTGAAGGGGAACTCATCAAATTTGCAGATGACACCAAACTGACAGGAGTAGCCAACACCGCAGAAGACAAACTCTGGATCCAAAAAGGTCTTGACAAACTTGAACAATGGGCCCTATCCAACAAAATGAGTTTCAATGTGGAAAAAAGCAAAGTTTTACATTTAGGCAGGAAAAATCAAAGATTGTACAGATTGCGCGAGACCTGGCTCAAAAACAGTAACTATGAGAGGGACCTCATAGGACGATCACTTAATATGAGCCAGCAGTGTACTGCAGCAATCAAAAAAGCTAATATAATCCTGGGTTGTATAAACAGAGGCATAGAATCAAGATCACATGAAGTATTAGCTTTATAAAATCCTAGTAAGACCACACCTGGAATACTGCAGCCAATTTTGGTCACTATATCACAAAAAAGATGTTGAGAGTTTGGAAAAAATTCAGAGAAGAGCAATTAAGATGATCAAAGGCCTGGAGATTAAAACATACAAAGAACGGCTACGGGACTTGGGTTTGGCTAGTCTAAAGAATAAAAGAAATAGGGGAGACGTGATAGCAATATTCCAGTATTTGAGGGGCTGCCACCAAGAAGAGGGAGTAACGTTATTCACCAAAGCACCAGAGGGCAGGACAAGAAGCAATGGTTGGAAACTGATCAAAGAAAGAAGCAACTTGTAATTAAGGAGAAACCTCCTGACAGCAAGGACAATTAACCAGTGAAACAGCTTGCTTCCAGAAATTGTGGATACTCCATCACTGGAGTTTTTTAAGAAGAGACTAGAGAGTCACTTATCTGAGATGGTATAGGTTCTCCTGCTTGAGCAGGGATTGGACTAGAAGACCTCCAAGGTCCCTTCCAGCTCTGTTCTATTCTATTCTATTCTATTCTATTCTATTCTATTCTATTCATGTTTTATTTCCATTTGGTCTACTTTCCTAGACTGTAGAGTTTGAATGAACATTTCTTTCAGGAGAGAATTATTGCTTATGATCTCAAAACAGGATGGTGTCTCTGATACAAGTGGACATTTGGAATAAAGTTTTCTTGTTTTGGTACTGCTTGATTCTGTTGAGTATTTCAATTGTTAAAACTACTTTTGTATATTTTCCAGTAATATATAAATACACCTATATTTTTGAATTCACTGTAGATAAATAGTATTGGCAGGTTGGATATCCAATAGTTCCTTTAATTGCTTTGATAGTAATCTGCATTATAGCTTTAATTGTACCAACTATATTTTGTATAACACTTAGAGTAAGGCTTTTCAACCAGTGGTATAGGTACCACCTGTGGTACATTGGCACCTCACCTGACAGGTGGTACTTGACCATCCTAGAAAAGTGGTAGTGGGGGAGGGGAATGAGCTGAACCAGTGGCAGCACCGCATAAGCCTGAGCGAGAGATGGCTAGAGCAGCAGGGCTGTCAGGGCTCAGCGGAAGCGCCAGAATCAATGCCACTTTCCAGCTGATTGGCACTTCTTCGGAGCTGTCAGGGCTTAATGGAAGCACCAGGATCAGTGCCAGGCTCCAGATGGAGCTTGGCGCTGATACTGATGCTTCTGCTGAGCCCTGAAGAAGCATCAATCAGCTGGAATGTTGCAGCCTCTCCAGGATCTTGTGATTTACATTCAAATGCTTGGCAACTGATTCATATTTATGACGGTCACAGTTCCCAAGGTCATGTGAAGTGACCAAAACCTGCTGCAACCACCCAGCAGAAGGGGGGAATAAAAACCAAACACCCCCCCATCCCACTCCCACTTCCAATCCTCAACAGAAATGCTCACAACAATGAAAACCTCGGACAGGAGGAAGAGCGCTGCCAGGTGGGCAGGCAGGTGTCTTGCTTGGCTGTGGCTTGGGGGCACTTTTTTCAATGCCATTGTAACTTCGAATAGTCACTAAGTGAACTGTTTTAAGTCAAAGACTACCTGTACTTTATCACTTTTTCCTGGTTTTTTTTGGGGGGGTCATCAAGTTGGTAACACCTTGCTAGGCGACTGGTGGTACTCGGATATTGCCATATCCTAAAAGTGGTACAATGGGTGAAAAGGTTGAAAAGCCATGATTTAGAGTATACTCTTCAAATAATTTACAATAATGATTACCTGAGTATAAATTACCCTGATCTGATCCTACTTTTTTTTAACAATCATAGCCTTGTCCAACTACTTTACTGAGATCTAACCTAAAATTAGAACAAGCAGAAAAAAATGATTGTATCTAGTGTAATTTGATTTAAAATTGAAATAAACTCAAGAAATTTATCATGTAAGGGTGTATTTCCATTATATTCTTCTAGAAAACTTGTACCTAATTGCATTGTAGGCTGTTTCATCTGCTGAGGTAAATCTTCTGGATATATTCATCTTTACAACAATATCCTTTTTCATACTTCGGCCACATAATTTTATTTGCTATTTTGTGTTCCTACAGGCATGTATTTAGCATATCCAGTTTCCAAATTTAATTCTTCCTCCCAGCCTCAACACTAGATTGAAAATGATCCACCAATTCAGAGTAATGTAATGGAGTCACACTATATGGTGGACGATAGAATAAAAGTCTGTTATTTTCTAGTTCTTGTATATTAAAACTAAGTTGTGGCTCACAAGATGCCACTAGATTTCTCTGTACGTGACAGAGAAATAATTAGCTTTAGCTTTTGTGAACAACTATGCTGCTTACTGCTTGAATGTTATATTGCAGTTTACTTGAAAATTTAACTTTACTGCAAGCTTTAGTAATAAAAATATTCTGTTTCTCTCTTTATATTAATGGCTGCTGGGAGAGAAATAAAACACAGCAACAGCAATTTTATTCAAAACAACAAAATATGTTAACTGTGGGAAATATTTAAAAAGCCAAAGACAGTGAAATACTCTTGGACTTGACCTGTCAGAATTTCCAATTTGCTAAGGGGTTCTACCTTTTTATAAGCAGCTCAAATTTTAACACATTTTACGTTTCATATAACCTTTTATTTATATACTGTACATCATGTCTGAGAAAGCCTAAGAGGAGAAAAAGCAGAGCAGATTAGCTTGTTCCCTTGTCTAAACTGAAATCCTAACTACTACCTCCATGTAAAACCCCATCTAATGAATGCCTGCCCACATTTTTACAATTCACATATAGTTAGTGCTTAATATGACTTGAGTTTAAACTGAAGACATAATTTCAGAGATGGTGATTCTTATGTTTGGTGCTCGGTGAGTCATCGACGAGGCAGCAGGTGAACAAACAACTCTCTATTAAAGGTTTAAACAGAAGCCTGGATAACTGCAGCTCCACCCCTATTTATACACTCAACAACTAGGTGGCAGCCAATAGGATTCAAGTATTAGTTCCCGCTTTAACACAAGATAATTAGCATGTAGACAGCAAGCCTGGCTCTTAACTGACAGAGACTTATGACTGTTTTTTCAACAATTCCAAGTACTTCACCTCAATACATTACAATGGTGATGATGATTATGATGATGATGATGATGATGATGATGATGGCTGCAGTGTCCTCATTTTCTCAGAATCTGCTTTGGACAGGAAAAAGGCCCACCTAGCCAGATAGCATGAAAACCACAGAAAGGCAGTAGAAGATAAGAGGATAATCTATCTAGGGAAACTTAGCTAACCTAACCTTTGCTTTGCTACCGGGATGGGCTGGATCTAGACTGGGTTTTGTTAAATGTATATCCCTCTGCTTTATTCCTCCTATTTTTAAGATGATGCATTTTGTTCATATGTTGTAACATTATATGCTATGTATCTTATGTTTACATGCCTGCAGCTTATGATTCCAAAGAGAGGAAGGAAGGAAAGAAGGAAGATTTTCATGGAGTCATTTTATACACACTTAACACCCCACTTCTTGCAGATGCACAATAAGCTTATGAGCACCTTTCTACTCATATACCCCTATAACTGGCATTTAGAGACCAAGCAGATATTAGACACCACGTCTAGCAGGCTTTATCATATCTAATTCTCTTTTAAAGCCATCTGTGTTGCCAACAATTCCTACCTACATCCTCTATAATATAGAATATGTAGGGTGGTATTCTATACTTTAACAATGTGTTATGTGAAAAAGGGCTTTCTTTTGCATGAGTTGAATTTTTCATTCTTTAGCTTTGCAAGATGAGTTCAGGTACTCATGAGAAAAGAAAAAAGAACATAGTCATGATTATTTTTCCCAACTATGCATAATTATATGCACTATTGTCTCCATATACTTACCTAACTTTCTTCCAAGACAAAAAGTCATATCCTTTTATGCATCTTCTCTTGTTCTGCCATGTTTCTTTTTCCAATTCCTATTGCACCATTTTTCTGGATAAAAAAAGTAGCCTTAAACGGTAAAAAATATATGCTCTTAATTCACAGCAGTCAAGGCTAAAACTTACGAATCAAAGGTTATAGGTCTCCTTTTAAGATTTCCCTTCTTATTTGTAAGTCTGTTTTCTGTGCCAGTCATGCCTAGGAAAGCCTTACATAACTAGAAGCCTATAATTGAAAGCACAGCTCCCTAACATCTGAACCAGATGGGCCTTTGGAACAAACAGCGGTTCAGAAAGGAATCAGATTTGCATCAAATTATGTGAAACAATAATCGCTAGCCTGTTTTGATGTGCTTTGATGTGTTCTTTCGCCTGTGAACTAGGACTAAAGAGAAAGCCCAGGATTAGAAAAAGAGAAGATGAAGTTGGTTGCAATTAGCTAATGAGAACCTTACATCTCCAGCATGCCTAAAAGGTAAAATAAAATAGTATATAGGCCAGCAATGAAAAAAAAAATGGTCCAGAAACAATGATTGGTTAAGGAAAGCAGCTGTCTGACTAACAGCAAAGGAATGTACAGTCTGCCTTTATCAGGACTGACTGTATCAACCCTTTAACGCAGGGCTTTTTCTTCAGATATTTACATTTGTCACATATATTTTCTCTTTCCAACAAAAGATGTTTGAAAACTTATTAGATCATTTGTCCTTCAAAAATAGACGTTTAAAGGATGGCCATGATAGGAGAAGTTGGGGCCATTTCCAGTATAAGATGGAGGTAGGGAGAAGAATTCCTACTTTTTTGTTAAAAGCCTACTATTGTTACTGCTCCTTAACATACACATTTCAGCCTCTATTGAGTACCATGCTGCATTTTGGAATATCATGCCACTGAGCCAGTGCGACTTTTGAAAGCCATCATTACCAGACCAGACCTCTAGTTATTATTTTGACTGCCTGCCCAGACTTGTAAATATTATTTAAGAACAAAGATCTCAAGCCTGAACATCTATTTTAGTGATGGTCCTGCTGTTCTTATTAAATTTTTATTTTTATTATGATCTTAAGAGTTTTTGAGTATTAGAAAGGCTTTCTAAGTTATTTAGCAAAAATGGTTCATATTCATAGATATTTTTATGCCGGTCTGTACCTTTTCTATTCTAAAAGCCATGATAGTTCAGGGGGTTAGAATGCAGTATTGCAGACTAATTCTGCCCATTGCCAGGAGTTCAATCCTCACTGTCTCAAGGTTGACTCAGCCTGCCATCCTTCTGAGGTTGGTAAAATGAGGAGCCAGAGGGTTGGGGCCAATATGCTGACTCTGTAAACTGCTTAGGGAGGGCTGTAAAGCACTGTGGAGCAGTATATAAGTCTAAGTGCTATTGCTATTGCTAAAATATAGAATGATATGCCTATTTCAGTTTATATATTTGTCAGTACTGTTTGCCAATCTCTTTCAACCAAAAAGGTATCTACGTTTTGCAAATGATCTGTCCAACTCACTATCGTGGCTAGGTGGATGTCCAACAAATCAAAGCAAGGCAGTTTTCATTCCAAATAGAAGATGGGGAGTTTTCCATCATAGAAATGTTTCTTCCTCTTGTCATTAAGTGTTTTAGGTTGGGAGTGACAAATATGTAGAGAATAGTTAGTAGTCCCATGAATGAACTAGCCCTTCTTTTAAGATTCCAAATAGTTGGATTTCGCTAAACCATTTAATAGTCTATTAAAATGCTGGTTTATCTTGACTTTGTTGATATTTATTTCCAGGCATCCCCAGGTTATACATTGAAACAGACTGAAAGATGACCCAATCAAGAGAAAGATAGGTGGACTGGAAACAATGTAACACAGACTGTCTTATGGTCGGACTAATAGGCAGACAGGAATTTGGCCAGACTATGGTCAGACTAATAGGCAGACAGTGAAAGGCACTGTAATACAGACCAGACCTCTAGCAACTTGGAAAGTGAGGGACCAAGCAACAAGTCATCGAACTGCAAGGCAGTCTGGCAGATAGAGCAGATGGATTGTCTCAAACAATCTGACAAAGATTTCTAATTCAGATGCTTTTGGGATAGGTGATTGGCTTGATGCTAGAAGCAGCACAAATTTAATGGCAATGATGGGATGTAGTAGCAATGCAGAAAACCATTGTTATTTCAAGGAGTTTAGTAACATATTAAGAAAATTCTACAAGTTTAATAGGTTTAGCAGGTTTCTGAGCTAACTCGCTTGTTTTTCACTCTTGCTTAGAGTGAAAGGAGAAGGGAGGGGGGAATATTTGTGTAGTTTCAAAGGTTTTCCCACTGTGAAAGTCTCAGACTTTTGATTCCCATTCCTGAGTCATGTGCCAGCCAGTCAGGTCCTGCAGCCTCATGATGGTAGCAGGGCCATGAAGTCATGGTGCCATGTTTTGAGAAAAACCACAGGGTTGTTGTTGGTTGGGAACTTCTACGTGGAACCCAGCACTAGCTATTGTGGGAACTAGCTGTCCTTGGGATACCTCTGCTGTTGTTATTAAGGAGCTCCTGACATCCTGATTTGGGTATCGTCTTGCTATGTATGCATGCTTTTTGTATTACGCTTTCAAATCTGTTTGCTTGAGCTAATAATAAAGCTTAAAATCCCATTATTTACTGGTGTGCCTATTGTCTCTGGATGCAAAAGATTCAGTTGCCTGGGCACCTGATCACTGCCATTACACTTGGCAAAACACAAAAGAGCCATTTTATGGCTATGGCAATAACCATTTAGGCAATAGCCCTATGGCAATAGCCATTTAGAAATAGAAATATTTAACCCCTCCTTTTCTTAACAAAGATGCAGCTCTGGGGGGAAGATCATGTTTGGAGAGAGCTGTCAGGTTAATGATGTAATGATTAATTGATGGTAGAGTAATATTAAATCATAAGAACAGTAGGGAGCAGTATGCACATGGATATGGCCTTGGAGCTTTCAGAATTTCTAATCTTCACCTTCAATTTAAAAATGCTTGTGAGGAGAAGGAAGACTGAGGATTGGTCCAAAGCTTCCTCCAGTGGAAGAAGCTTTCCTTTTCAGGATCCAGTTTGCATTGGTCACTGGGAACAGAGGTTTAACTAGACTTGTTCTGGAGCCCATCCTCAAGGAACTTCTCTTTAGCAGAATGTGTGCTTTTGGCTATTCTGTGTATAGTATTTATATGGTGCCTGATTGTGTAAGGCTTTTTAGTTGTTGATTGGGGTGTCAGTGGCCAGTACTTAAGTCATTGGCTATTGTTTCCTTGTGCTGCCAAGCCCTCCTAAGTATTTGATAAACTGGTGGTTTATCTGGTAAACTGGTAAATCAGAACTCCTATTGATTGACAAGAGGCCCATTTCCCAGGCTTAAATCATTCCCTGGCTATTTTTGTCCCTGCTTGGCCACCAATCTTAGTAGCTAAAAAATTGAATGTATGTCCTTGTTCATTACAATGTGAAGCTGCCAATGAGTTTGGGTTTCTCCATTTGATCGCTTGCTTGTGTTCTTGTAATATGGTGGTTAGCTTCCTCCCCGTCTGCCCTACATAATCACAGAGGGGATTCTTACAGGGGATCCTGTAGATTACATTGGAAGGATCTCCCACCTCCAAGCAATCTTTGCAATACATGATTTGTCCTCTCAAAGAAGCTTTCTTTTATCAATATAAATACTTCGGGATATTAAATGTGTAAAATTGTTAAAGTCCTTTCCAAATACCAGGGCTCAATGTTAATTGTTCCGATTATACATGGGGAACATATTAGCCTCCGCCTAGTCTTTTTAAATTGATTTATGTTTTATCCTTTTTTTGCTGTCTAGAGTTCCATGGTGACTATATAAATGGTGTAAATAAATAAATCTTGCACTTATTACCATTTTATCCCTACCAAATTCTGCCAACATATATTTCCAAATTAAAACCAGCCCAGATAGTGAACAACAATCTCTAGCTTTTTACTAATGGATTTTGGCAGAAAATATAAGACAAAAATTTCAAATTATCCTTAGGTATTAGATTGAATAGGCTGATGTTACATTTTAAGTGAAATATAATTTATCTTCATGGGATTAAATTTGTTTTCCGTCTCAGTGAGATGCAATGTTTTATAAAGCTACTTCCCAATTCCTTCCTCTGTTGCTGAAACTTTTCATTTTGGGGATGACTTTTTGATCATACTGTTGTATTTTAGTAGCTTTCTAAGCTCCAAAGTGGAATAAAGATTACTGTGACATTTTCCTCTTGCGTGAAGGAATTTATCTGCTTGAAATCTTCTGTGAGCATTTGATGCAATGAGAAAACAATAATAATTTTAAACCTGGATAATTATTTTACCAAAGCTCCGTTAAACCATTACATATTTACAAACTAGAGATTAATTTCTTGCTTTTTACAGTCTAATGGCTATCAAGGTTTGTAGAAGTACAAAAGGGTTAGTTTAAGGACTGCCTTACAAAGATTTAACTTGCATAGTAAACTTCATTAAATGTAATGCCAGAGAGAGTTTTTCCTTTTGTGAGAGTCCTTCTGTCTATTAAATTAAGAAACCAAGCCTGCTTTGGATTCATTCCAATCAAATGAAGTCTCTCTCTCTCTCTCTTTGTGTGTGTGTGTGTGTGTTTACCCACACACTTCCTAACAATATGCACTGTTACCTCCCAAGAGCAGAACGCACAGAATGAAGCAGATGTGATCTTTATTTGAGTAAGTTTACCAAGCAAATATTTGAAAGAGTGTGGAGGACATATATGTGACAGCAAATATTTCATATCTTCCCTAGTTGATAGTGAACATTTAATGGACATGGAAATTAGTCAGGTTTCTCTTTGTCCTAGTACATTTTTTATCCTTATTAAATCAGCACCTCAGGGACTTAAGTGGTTCCCCAAACCATCTATTAAATACAAGGAGGGGACATTATAAAAGGCTGCTTTATTCTGCAACATGATTACATTGTGAGTGGGAAGGGAATAATGCATTTGGCTTGAACTCTTTGGACCTCCTGCAATTCTGTCAGTCAAATAAAAGAATGCTAAAGACTCTTTCCCTCAAAATATTTAAGCTTGTTTCACTGTTGTTTCCATTCAGAATCAGAAAAAATGTAACCCTGAGCTGATGGTTTATGGCCATGTAAAAGTATGTGGGGTCACCACACCCACGACTCCTCACCCTAAACAAAAACTCCTGGCTCAAAGCAAGGGAGGCATTGGAGCTCCAGAGAGCCTGAGAAGAGAAACACAATTTATTTCAACAGCAAAAATATTTCAGGGTTAAGCCATACTTGCTTCTGTTAACCACATATAGGCTGCAATTATTAGCCATCTATCTATCTTGCCTTCATTTCATGGCTGTTCACATTTTTGCATCCCTGTTCTATAATGCAGAGAGTGAGGAAGATGACCTAGAGAATGATATGCAAGCTCCACTGTAATGATGACCAGGGTAAAATGCTTTTTAAGTCCAGAATGTCAAGATAATGTTCAGAAGTGGCTCAGTCTGATGCTTCCTTAATTCACTAAATTCTAAGAAGGAGGAAGAGCTACAGCATACTGAATAGAATAGAATAGAATAGAATAGAATAGAATAGAATAGAATAGAATAGAATAGAATAGAATAGAATAGAATAGAATAGAATAGAGCTGGACCTTGGAGGTCTTCTAGTTGGGTCCCGGTGATTTATACTTGTCAAGGTCGGATAGATGTTCTCTTACCATTTTCTTGCTTATTTTAATTTTTGTTTCTAATTTGTCTTTTTCAAGGAACAGTGCCTTTGTCATAGACTCTGGGGGGACAGTTACTTTTCTTCACCTAACTTCACATTAGCTGTACTTTTATTTATTCATTTAAAATATTGGTCTCCCCTTTTTCATCTATAAAAACACCATCCTAAGCTAACTTTCACTTACTGTAGGCTACATCCATTTAAGTAGGAATGATGAGAAATGCTGAAATGGTCCAGAAGAATAAACTCATGTATCACATCATTCTGCAAAAAAAAAAAAAAAAGGAAAGGAAAGGAAAGGAAAAGAAAAGAAAGGAAAGGAAAGGAAAGGAAGGAGGGAGAGAGGGGGAGAAAGGAAGGAAGGAAGCATTTTCAAGCTACTTTATTTGAAGGAGGGAGTGGTCCTTTCACACTTTCAAATTCTAATTTTAATATGGTTTTGTAGCTTGTGATGGGAAGAAAATCTGGCAAAATCTGCGCAGTAAACCCATGACTGTAAACATTGCCAAAAACAACTGCATCTAATAGGAGAAATCCTCTTGATGCTTTTTGTATTTAGGTTTTTGGGTATGCTACCTCTGTTCAGATAACAAATTAGGAAACATCAGGAATCCTTAAAGAAGAGTCATATGCCTGCTGCTCTTGACTCATCTGCAATAGAATTCTATTTTGAAAGCAACAAAAAGCAAAATCTGGCCCTGACATTATTTTGTCTGCTTGAACTGTCTCCAGCAGGTGCATAAAAATCTTCCTTGAAAGATGGGGTGAGAATTTGGCCACTGAGTTTTATAAAACTTCCAAGTATTCATTTACTACAGAAAACAGATGTTATAGAACAAATGTCCTAGGAAAAAAAAACTTCACTCTTTGGATAGAATGTAGTAAGAAGCCAGACTTCACTTTTCATAAAAATGATTGATGGAGAGTTGATTTTTGCTAGCAGTTTCTTCCTGATTTATACTCAGAATTTCTTCCCAGCTATGTAGTCTCCACAGCCCAGTTTTCATGGTTAAATATAGTTGAACTCTTGTTAGAGGATAGAGTACTAAGGTCTTGAGAGAAACGATCATAGTTAATTGGATTATGACCAGGTTTATATATTTCAGGACAAGCAAGAGTTCCATGGTAACATATATATTTTGAATGAAAAAGATCTTTATATCTGCAGTTAAAAGACTGCGATACTGGAAAAATCTCTTTTCAAATCTCTAAATCTGCCAAAAGGTGAACACTGCCCTAGGTTAGAAGGACAAGTAATCTGACTTCTTACAACCCTATCTTTCTAAACTTTTATGAACTTTTATTGAACAACTGATTTTGCATGAGAATTTCAAAGTATCCATCATTAATATTACAGATGGAGAATATATATAGGAATGTGTAAAATATTCAGAGCTTAAAATGCCTGATTGCAGTGAATGAAACACAGGTGGTCCTTGCAACTAGGTGCAGAATTTCAGTCATAAGTCATGTTTGTTATAAATTGAGGCACACACATGACCATTATTGTCTATACAGTTGCATGATTATTAAGCAAATCACACAACTGTAAATCCAAATGCATTCTCCCAAAAGGGCATTTTTTGCCCCAAAAAATAAATGGTAAAAATCCCATTGCAAATCACAGTCACATGACTGCAGAATGCTGCAATCAGTTGTAATTGCCAAATGCCCAAACTGCAATTATGTATCTATGCAACATTTTACAACAGTTAGAAGTCCTATAAGGGCCATAAAGCACCCTTTCTGAGGCTGTTGTAACTCCAAACAGTCATTAAACAACATAAGTCAATGACTTCCTGCACTAGTTTTGGAACAAGGCATAATGGTTTTGTTCTGAATGCAAGACCAAATTCCTGTTTTAAGTAATATCCTGACAGTCTGCGCTCCTGTGGGTGGCTTGCTGCTTATGGGACCAACTCTATTGTGCTGTTATTGGCTGAAAGTGGGTGAGGTGATGATGGGGTGGAGATAAATGAGAAGCAGCCTTTATTTAAGTAGATGGCCAGATGGGGTAGTTTTGCATCTGCATCCATTGTGGATGAGTGATCCTAAATAGAGTAACTGATGAAGACCTTTCTCAGACGTCTGCCTACTACTATTATAAAAAAAAATGATTTCCTATAGAAAGTTAAGTTCCACAATATAAAGATTATGCACAACTTTCTCTTGTTCCCATGCACTTTTTTGATTGTATCTTTCAGATGTGAAACAAATCTAGATGAATCTCATATCTTGCATGAGCCCTTTATTCACACTATAATGTAAAGATAGTCATATAGAGAAAATTTACAGAGCTTACTTACAGATAGTGCTACTGAAATAAATGGAACGACTCAGTTACTATCTATCTTAAATCCTTTGGATTTCAAATCCTCTAGCTTGAGCAGGGTTTGATCATCAGGGGTTAAACAAGTTGGAACACTTGTTAAATGGCTCAGTGGATCTCATTCTTCATGTTTTCATACATACAAATATCTTCATGAGAACTGAACCTGAATCTGAAAAGCAGGCTTGGCCAAATTACAGCTCACTCTTGGTGTGTATTCTCTCAAGGCATAAACATTTTGAAGTTATCTGCTTTGCCTCTTTGGCTTTAGCTTCATCTAGTCAGGAGGACAGATGACTCATCTTAACTCATTTTCTTCTTGTGATTTCTTAACTTCCGTTCAGTATTTAGCCCAAAGTACAAGTGTTATTTCTTATCTTTCACCTATGCTTATAGTTAAGTTGTCTGGCCATAGTGATATCTGCTTAATTTAAAACAAAACAAAACAAAACAAAACAAAACACAGTTTATGATTTATGTTCCCCCACCTTTTTTCTTTTAAAAGATCATGGTTTTGCTGCATAAGAAGCCAAATGAGCTTGGCAAATACTCACCCTGCTCCTTTTGTATCAGTGCAGATAAATAACATCCAAAATTGCTTTCTCCAACCCGGCACCCTCCAGATGTGTTGGAATTGCAACTCCCAGTATTGCCATAAAACATGACCTTTGACCATCCAGGCTGGGTGAAGTCACAACATATCTGAAGGGTGTGAAAGTCTGCTCAAGCATAAACTCATCTTGGAATGTAGCCACCCCTGCAATCTGTTTCTCTTCAGTATATTCAAGCTATGGGTGATCTTGCTATCATCTCACAGGAAATCCATTTTTAAACTCTGAAATTTCAAGTCATCTTAAAATTCTCCCATCATGCCAGGAAATATTTAAAGAGCATCATGGGAGTGGAACTGATTTGCAGTTCTATATAACTAAAAATGCATGGTGTTTAGATTTAAGAAAGGAAAATAATGTATGGCTTTTTAAGACCAAAACTTGGCAAAATAAAAACATGCCATTCAAACAGTGGCTCAGAGGAACTGAATAGTCTATGGACTGTAAAAGGCAATGCCATGGGTTAAACTCATTAATTTGGGCATTAAGAGCCTTTATAATATGCCAGTCTGATCTTATATTTGGGAAGTTACCTGCAGCAAAATATAAAAATATAATTTATCTAAAACCCACTGCATTTTCTGATAGACTACTAGAGAACAGAACACCTATTTAACAGAGTTATGTTGATCTGTTAAATAAGAAGAATTTCTCAAACTGTTCCTAGATAAAAAGATTGTTGCCTTTTCACAATACTGTTCTTGGAATGGACTGTTTCCAGTTAGCAAATAATATGTTTGAATGCTGCCCATGTCAACTGTGCTTTCTTTCCAGTTCACTGGATTTATAGGAATTACATTCATCATATAGAGCGGTGGGTAAAAAAGTGGATAAATATTACAATTAATCCTATAATAAATGCATGGTTCCTGAAGAAATCAATGGAATAATTTCCTTACCATAGTTAGAATGCTTTTTGTTAAATATTGAGAAGTAAAAATAAAATCCATACCATTCAAATAATTTGATAAGTTCTGGGGGAAAATAACTTTGGACAATGTTTCAGTCTTCTGTAGTTAAGTATAAAACTACAATGCAAAAATAGTTCTCTTTCTGTTGCTGTTGCTTGCTTAATATATCTCTACTTATTTCTTTACAATATTTTTACATTGTTCAGTAGCTCATGTTCTCTGGCTAACTTATTGTAAGCATTCAAAATAATAAGAAATGCAATGCTAACATGAGCTCCAGAATAGAATAAACACAGTGAAAGATAAATTTAAAATAAACCCAATAATAGAAGATAGTAAGTGGAAGTTGTTGTGTCCTGAGCCTGCAAATGCAAAAGCTGCCCGGGACCAGACTGAGTAGCGCCAACCAAGCGCACATGTGCAAGGCGTAGAAAGTGCCTAGTAATGTTGCCATCTTGTCCAGGGAATGGGGACATATAAAAGGAGGCCTGCATGCCTTTGCTCGTTGTTGGAGTTTGAAATAAGCACAATAAAGAGCTGTTCCAGAAACATGTGTATTCTTCATTCGCCATTGCTCCCAGGACTTAACACTGGCGACGAAGGTGGGATGCTTAACAAGGAAAGCTAGAAGAAAGCTTTAAGGCTTACCCAAAAGAAGTCCTGGAAGGGAAAATGGCGTTAAATTCAGCAGCTATCCTGCCAGTACAGCGTTGCTGGAGGGTGAGTTTGGCTGAGAGAACCTTTCCCTGCAGAAGTGAGTGGTGCAGCACAAACTACAATGGCGAAAATCGGCCGCTTGTCAGAATTCGACGTCGCACACCCGGAACGATGGGAATCATACATTGCAAGAGTAGAGAAATATTTTAGGGTTAACCAAGTTCGTGAAGATGGGCTGAAGGCTGCCACGTTGTTGTGTGTATGTGGCCATGAGATTTTGAAATTGCTGAAAACCTCGTGGCTCCTGCTTCGCTGGAAGGCGTAACATAAACAGACTTAAAGAAACTTCTGAAAGAACATTTTCAGCCCAAGCTGTCCATCACTGCATGGAGGCACACGTTTGAACAAAGGGATCAGAGAGCAGGAGAATCTGCTAAGGACTTTATTGCAGCATTGAGGCGAGCAGCTAGACCATGTGAGTTTAAAGACTTAGAGGAAAGACTGCGTGATCGTTTTGTGTGTGGACTGAGAAAGAGACTTACAACAAAAGATCTTCGCGAAAGAAGACATTTCATTCCAAGAGGCTCTACAAGAAGTTACAGCAGAGGAAGCAGCAGGCGGAGCAGTAAAAAACATGTGGCCCACCAGAAGCCCTCCAGAGACTGTTGCTGTCCACCAGGAGAATGTGCAAGAAGATTCGGAAGAGGTTCCTGAAGATGAGGTGAATAAGCTCTACCAGGCACCAGAAGGAGACAGAGAGATCGCACAGAAAAGGCTTCAATAACTTCACAATGCTTCAGATGCGGAGGATGCCACAGAAGAGCAGACTGCTGGTTCCGGTTCGCCATTTGCAGGGCCTGTGGAAGGCAAGGCCACATTACAGCCATATGTCTGAGTCGTTCACCACAACCAAACAGACCCCACATATTCTTTCTCCTCGTATGCTGCGTTGGTCCATTTTCCTGTCAGCATATGACTACTCTTTAATTCACAAGCCTGGAAAGGAAATGGGTCGTGCTGATGCTCTGAGTAGATTACTCCTTCCAACACTGGAGCCTGATCCTGCTCCAGCCATTAATATTCTGTCCATTCAAGAGCTGCCTGAGTCTCCCCTCAATGCAAGGGATGTGGCTGCTGAAACTGCCACTGATCACACGTTCACATGTGTTCTGTCATGGGTGTTGTCAGGATGGCCTGACAGATGCCCTGATACTGAGTTTCAGAGTTTCTGGCAAAGAAGACATGAGTTGTCCACTTTCAAGGGTTGTCTGCTATGGGGAAGTGGGGTAGTAATCCCTACCTCACTGAGGACTAGAGTGCTGCATTCTTTACATGAGGGACACCCTGGCATAGTCAGGATGAAGGCGCTTGCATGCAGCCATTTGTGGTGGCCTGGCCTCAATAAAGCCATTGAGGCTCAAGTGCATGGGTGCCATGTGTGCCAACGGTCCTGGCCTGAAATGCCTCAGGCCCCAGTTCATAGAGGGGAGGAAAATCATACCCCATGGTCCAGGGTACATATAGATTATGCTGGGCCCTTTCAGGGGCAATTCTTCTTGGTTGTTGTTGATAGCCATTCTAAGTGGCTAGAGGTTGTTCCTGTGTCCTCCACTACTGCTGCCAAGACTATCCAGGTGCTGAGAAATATTTTTGCAACTCATGGCCTTCCAGATGTTCTCGTTTCAGATAATGGTCCTCAATTCACCTCTTCTGAGTTCCAGGTTTTCCTCCAGGCCAACATGATCTGCCATGCAACTTCTGCTCCTTTCTGCTCCTTTCCACCCATCCACCAACGTAATGGCTGAACATATGGTGCGCACCACCAAGGATGCCCTTAAGAGACTGACTTAACGGTAACTTAACGGTGACAGGTTAGCAGACTTTCTTCTTGCACATTGCACCACACCTTGCACTGCCACTGGAAAGAGCCCAGCGTTGGGGTCGCCAGCTCATTACCAAGCTGGACAGACTGCATCCTGACCAGGTGGTGTCTCAAGGGTCGCATCCACAACCACCAAGGTGTCTGCAAGTGGGTGCTCCTGTTTGGACCAGAAACTACGGGCCTGGTCATATCTGGGTGCCATCTGTGGTTTGCAAGGTCTCGGGGCCCTTGTCCTATGAAGTGTTCCTGGAAGACGGCCACGTTCTTTAGCGGCACATAGATCAGCTGCGTACGAGGCTGGAGTCTCACCCTTCCGCTCCTGGCTCTGCTCTGGGGGGGGGGGAAGAAGGCTATAGAATACATTCTGAGGATCAATGTCAGCAGCCAGTGCCGGCAGCTGAGGAGATCGTTGATCCCCCATCCTGAGATTCTGCAAGTGCTCCAAACAAGAATTCATGGGGCAGAGAACTACCCTACACACCAAGACGCACTCCAGCCAGGAAGTCACCCCGGGGGCATCCACATACCCCATACAGAAACAGTAACACTCCAGACAGGGAGGATAACCGGGGGTATTCACAGAACTCACAGAACACGCAAGAACTGGCAACCCAGCTAGGAAGCAGGTTCAATTCTGCAACTGCTTCCAAAAGGAGGTCCTATGTAAGTGGGGCAAGCAGAGAGGCCTCTCCTGACTCTGGTACCGCAGGTATGACCGTGGGGTCCACCGAATACTGGGGCCCCTTACACACACCTGTTTCACAGGGCATGTCCGAAAACAGTCGCTGGCTCGAGGACATAGGTTCTCAGGAACCATCCAGAATAGTTCTGGAATCCTCAGCCAACTCAGAAGGTTGGGAGAGTGCAGCTGCTCTCACAGAGCCTGGGGAAAACTCTGGCATTTCTGCCAGTATGCCCTACCAGGGGTCACCTGCAAAACCTGTGCATAAAAGTCCTGGTCTAGCGAGCCCATCAGGCGGGCCAGTAGGCCAGGTGCCCTTAAGGTCAAGTCCTGGTCTGTCCAGTCAAGCAGGGGACCTGTCAGGCCAAGCACCCTCCCTCATCCTGCGAAGGTCCCAACGGGTTAAGGCCCCTCCTAGACACCTGGATGAGTATGTAAGTTTCTTGTCAGCATAAGAACAGTACATGTCTATGGTGAAGAGATGGAACCTATGTGGGTAGCAACAGAACCCATGAAGCACACATTAGAGAGTGGCAACGAGTTATAGCAGAATGGATGTCTGTAGGATGGAAAGAAATTTATTATTATTTTATATTTGATATGGATTGTAAGAACAAGTACCGTTTGTGTTCTAGCTAAGAGGGGAGGGGTGTTGTGTCCCGAGCCTGCAAATGCAGGCTCGGGACATTGCAAGGTTCCTGGGCAATTGGAAAAGCTGCCCAGGACCAGACTGAGTGGCGCCAACCAAGCGCGCATGCGCAAGGCACGAAAAGTATCTGGTAATGTTGCCATCTTATCCGGGGAATGGGGACGTATAAAAGGAGGCCTGCGTGCCTTTGCTCGTTGTTGGAGTTTGAAATAAGCACAATA